CTTCAATTTAACATGCTTTCCATTTTCGTAGCAAATTATTTCTTTTGAACAAGTATTCAAATTGAATTTTCAAATTATTTCTTTTGAACAAGAATTCAAATTGAATTTTCAAATTATTTCTTTTGAACAAGAATTCAAATTGAATTTTCAAATTATTTTCGTGGGTCTTGTTACATCTAGCGCTAAATACTCCGAAATCTTCAATTTAACATGATTCTATTTTCTTAGCAAAAATTATTTCTTTTGGACAAGTATTCAAATTGAATTTTCAATTAAGTTTCAAGTATTGTTCGTGGGTCTCGTTACATCTAACGCTAAATACTCCGAATTCTTCAATTTAACATGCTTTCCATTTTCGTAGCAAATTATTTCTTTTGAACAAGTATTCAAATTGAATTTTCAATTTAGTTTCAAGTATTTTTCGTGGGTCTCGTTACATCTAACGCTAAATACTCCAAAATCTTCAATTTAACATGCTTTCATTTTCGTAACAAATTATTTCTTTTGGACAAGTATTCAAATTGAATTTTCAATTTAGTTTCAAGTATTGTTCGTGGGTCTCGTTACATCTAGCGCTAAATACTCCGAAATCTTCAATTTAACATGCTTTCCATTTTCGTAGCAAATTATTTCTTTTGAACAAGTATTCAAATTGAATTTTCAAATTAGTTCGTGGGTCTCGTTACATCTAACGCTAAATACTCCGAAATCTTCAATGTAGCATGATTTTCTTTTCGTATCACAAATTATTTTTCGGACAAGTATTCAAATTGAATTTTCAATTGTTCATGGGTCTCGTTACATCTAACGCTAAAATACTCCGAAATCTTCAATTTAACGTGCTTCCTATTTTAATTCGTGCTACTATACACAAGAAATGATTCGCCTTAAAAGGGACGATTACGTATCTAACGCTAACGCTAATACATGTACATGTATTAACGTTAAGTCAAGTGATCCAGTTATTCATTTTTTTTAATTCGTGCTACATGATTCCGCTTAAAAGAGATGATTATCTAATGCAAATATTAAGTGATTTTAGCTCTAGCATCTAGCCTTTGGCTTCAAAAGCCCAGAATTATGTCAAAAATCAAGAGGCTTAATATTAAATATATCAAAATCACATCGAATTTATGTTCAGAACTCATTTCTCGTTAATTGAATCGATTGTAGAATTCGAAACATAAACGAATTTGCTGATTGTGAATAAAGATAATGTTTGACATATTTACTTATTAAATTTTAATTGATTAATTACAATAGGCATTGACCAATTAACCTCAACCTGCTGAAGACTTTCCAAATATCTGATCCGAAAAGTATAGATGCATTTGGCGTCCTTTCTTTTCTTCTTGAGTTTCTGAATAATGCTTCGAAATCAAAACGAGGTGGCCATTCAAATTTTTGGGTTCTTCGGCAGCAACATTCGCTTCTTTAGGTTCATTAAGTTCAAAAATATAAAACAATTGCATCTTTTGCATTTTCGCACAAATTCTACCAAATTTTAATAGCTCACGGATTTTTAATAAGGCGTACAAACTCGTATCGCAAATCTATAAACGCATCGATATCGATGCGTTAATGATCAGTTATTTACCAAACATGAAGTATAAAAAAGGAATTTACCAAAAGCGAAGTACCGTAATTTACGGTGTTGAATACTCCGGCATATGTTTGAAAACGAACGTTAATCCTTCATCAATTTGCTCCATTGAAATATTTCAATGGGAAATTATTAATTTTTTTTCTTTATTAATATTCTCACTCTGTTTAATGATTGATGCAGATTTGTAAATATTTTTACTATACGTATTTTTATGACTTTAAGCTGGAAATATTACCATTATGGTATGTAATCCATTAGTTACTTATTTAAAATAGAAAAGTAGGATTTTTTCGGTTACTATGCATTTATTTTACTTAATATCTGGGCCAATATGCAAGCAAACATGATTTTTTAAGGTTTACAGATTTTTAAGAGAACCAAGTTAACGTTATTTACATAAGCCACGTTAACGTTAATTTATTGGTTTTTGGATAAAATTCAGTGGTACATGTATTCTCAATAGAATGTATTGGCGACGGATCATTCGGAAAAGTTTAGTTGAAAGAAGTTTCTGTGTTCCGCAGAAACCTACTCACCACAAATACCCACGAAGATGTGTTCGATGATACGATTATATAATAATTATAACGATATCAATATACATGTACGTATATATAAATGTTTCCATCGTGTAACAGAAGAAAATCGCTGTAGAATGCATAACGATAATTAATGAAATAAATTATCACTGATCCCTTTTAAACGATTTTTGTATTGTACTCGGATGTTTCGAATGCGGATGTTGGCATAAAACAATGCCAAACGATGAACTCCCATCATGCTCATGCATGCATATCATCGTCGTTGGATGAAAGAAAACCCATTAAAACCACGAAAAGGGGTAAAATAATTTTCAATTGATCAATATAAATTTTAATCTTCTCGGAAATTCTCAAAAATATAGATTTATGTGCACCTATTGTCTGGCGTCTTATATGCATCATTTATATAAATGCAAGATAGATCAAACGTTATAGACAGATATCGTTCATATTTTTCATAACGGTAAAGAATAAAAAAGATGCAATTGTTTTATATTTTTGAACTTGATGAACCTAAAGAAGCGAATGTTTCTGCTGAAGAACCCCAAAATTGAACGTTGAGTGGCCACTTGTTTTGATTTCGAAAAATTATTCAGAAACTCAAGAAGAGAAGAAAGGGTGCCAAATGCATTCATACTTTTTCGTATAAAATATTTAGAGTCTTCAGCAAGTTGGCATCAATTATGCAATCGTAAGCCGCATGGCTTCTGCAGCTTGGAAACGGCAACCAGAATATAAAAAATCCAAATATGAATCCTTATCAAAGGCTGCAAATCTTCAATGGGCCAAATGGGACCCAAAGCCAAATTAAAGATCCGTTAAAAAATCAGGCGGCAGGAGACGAAGATCTAAAAAAAAAATAGCAAATACAGTATCAAACGATCATGATATTTGCCAAACACCAGCATATATTGCTGACTTAGATACAGAAAACACACAAATATTCGGAAACGAATTTCAATTTCTTTATTAGTATCCTCACGATAGACATTTTCACCATAGGTAAAATGGTAATATTTATCTATCATGTCCATTAGGATATAATATTAGTGACTTGAACCGGGTATTAATTGATGAAGTTGTTGCCAATATTCATTACAAATCTTGTTATTTGTAAAGATCATTTCTTTCAATCAGGGATTCAACAATGTAACAAGAAGGCAAATTTTTTGATGAATAATCCCAATATTCAAATAGTAAATTGTAAATAATTGTTTATATAGTGCCTGATAATTTTTGATAGATCATTTGTAGATCCTTGAAATTTTATATGCATATAGTACATCACAAATGCTGATTATTGATACCCTTTTATTAATTGATAGAGATTCTATATCAGGTATTGTATGTTCATAAACTTTCACATTCCAAATATAATCAGTCATTTCATAACACATATTCCAATATCCAATAATCTAATTTTTGAACAAAAATATTACTATTCGATTCATCTTGATAGAAAAATTAATAGTAGTATTTTTGTTCAAATCAGATAACTGGATATCAAAATATTGCATCTTAAAGTAGCATATTCATTTTTTAATATAACAAAAATGAATCAATCAATTTAGAATGTGATATCTTAGATAAATTGAATGGTAATAATTTCACTCAAATCAGATTATTAAATGTTGAGATATTATATTTTAAAGTAACTAATTTATTGTATTTGAAATATAAAAATTTATGAACATGCAATACCTAATATAGAATTTATTAATCAATAAAAGATATCAATAATCAATATTTGTAATATATATATATATATATATATATATATATATATATATATATATATATATATATATTATACAATAAAATTTTAGAGATCTATATATAATCAATCAAAAATTATTAATATAAAGATATTTTTATTGTATACTATATCTCTTTTATAATTAACTCATAATCATTAAGAAATTATATATTATATTGAGACTATAATTAAATATTAAATAAAACAAATAAATAAAATAATTAATTAATTAATAAATAAAAAATTTATTATATCTTCATTTTTATAGTTATTTTTATTAATATTTGCACTTTGTACATAATAAAATTTTATTGTTTTTATTAAAAAATGAATAACTACTATAGTAAAATATTATTTAGTATTAAAATATTCAGTAATATTATCAAAATTCTAATAGCTTGAGTAATTTTTGAACAAAATTTCACTCTTCCTTTTATAATACTAATTATTCATTTTTTTATATATTTAAATTATTTGAAAATAATAATATTGCTAAAAGTTATTTAATTACAAATTATAATTTAATTAATTTCTTTTATAATTAATATTTAGAATTTAAAAAGTTAAAATATCTTTAATATTTAATTTGTAATAAATTTATTAATAGAATAATTAATTATTATTTTATTTTTTATATTTATTAAATTATTATCATAATTAAAGTTTTTAATAAATCAAATTATGTGAAAATATATTATTTTATCTTTTTTACTTATATATTTTAATTTGTATTATATCTAATTTTTGATTTTATTTGAGTAAGTCAAAAACTTGATTAATTCTCAAATTTAATAAATTTACCAATAATTTTTTTAGAGTATAATTACAAAATATATAATATATAATAATCTTTTTATATCATTTCAAACTTTTATAGTAATAATTATATTATTATTATTATTATTATTATTATTATTATTATTATTATTATTATTATTATTATTATTATTATTATTAAACTTTGAAAATCAATTAAACTTTAAAAATTAATAAAATTTGAGAATTAATTAAAATTTAAAAATTAATTAAAATTTTAATTAATTAAAATTTGAAAATCAATTAAAATTAAAAAATTAATTAAAATTTGAAAATTAATTAATATTTTTTAATTAATTAATTATATATAAATAATATAACAAAATTATTAAAAAAAATAAATTAATGAGAAAATCTCCTTATAAATAATATGACAAATATTATAACTTGCTTTTATGTATGATAACCTACTTTATCATTTAGCAATAATATTAATAATACTTTAGTCTTTGATAATAACTAAGAAATTATTTCTAATACAGAGTTTAATAACTCTAATAGTAATAATAATATCAATATTAATCCAAACTTGAATAATATTTATAAAATAATAGAAAATAATGAAATATTTTAATTATTTTTTTGTTATCTAGTATCTCTATAAATTTAATTAATCAAAGTATAACTTCAACAAATCAAAGTATAATTTTAATTATTCTAATAAAAAGAAAATATAAACTAAAAACTAAATTAAAAACCAGTTATATATGAAATTACTTTAAATAAATAGCTCTTACTACTACTATTTGTTAAGTACTAGAATGTGAAAAAATATTTGCTTATTATAAATTACTTCTATTATAAAATTATATCTCTCAAGTGCTCATTATATTACAAAAACTATTATTAAAAACAACAAAGTTATTCTTTGTTTTCAAAAATTTTTAGAATGATATATAATTTATAAAAAATTAAGAACATTCAAATACTTATAAATAATATTGTATTAATTAATATTTCAATTTTTTGTATTTATTATTATTTTGGTTTATTAATAGTAAAAAATTAAATTATACTAGCTAATATATATTTTTGTTAATTATTTGAAACTTATAATATTCAAATTGTACTTCAAATTTATTATATAGTGATAATAATATTATAAAAATTGAATTTTATTATTATTAAATCACAAATATCTTATATAATAATTATATGATTTATTATAATTTTTATATATATAGTAAATACTTTTTATAATAACATAATTAGTGCAAATAATTTTGTATTATTATATATATTAATATATTAATTTATTAATATACAGTCAAATCTCTATAGTTACATCTATTTATAATCATACTTCTTTATTGTCAGCTTATTTTGCTTTTTTATTTATATATAAATATAGTAAAAAAATCACTCTATAGTTATATTCTCTCTATAATCATCAAATTTTGCTTTCTCAAGAATAATAACTATTTGACTTTATAATGAAAACAGCAAGTTTTATCTATTTTTATCTTTTCTATTCCAAGTTTTATAACTTGATAAGAAAAGATTATACAAAAAACTAACTTAATCAAATAATTAGTGCTCTAATTGAATTAAAGTTAAATCTAATTCAAAATATTTCAGATTAGCCTAAAAAATATTATTTCTCATTCAATATTAATTGAAATTAAACAAAAATTTGTGAATATATATACAATTACATTTTGAACAACTTTACTTAAACACAAAATACAAGTGTCTTAGTAAATATAAAAGTTATTAATGAAAAATTTTGAATCAAACCTGATCTGAATCTGATCTAATTCAAAATTATTAGTTTAGATTAATCTTGAACCTGATCTAATTCAATTCATACAGAGCTTTATATTTGATCTAGCTACAGTTTGACCAAGAAAAAATATTTGATTTTCGTTGAATTATGAGTTATAACCTTTTAAAAATTCTCTAATTTATATTAGTTTATAAGATTGACCATCTTAAAAATTAATTAACTAATCAAAATTAGTCACAGTAATAACTAGTTAGTAATTTTGTCAGTCAACTAAATTAATTTTTCAGAAATCAACTTAGTTTAACAAATTTTTTCTTAGAATATTGATTGCATTATATAATGTTAAATAACATTGGTTGCATTATATATAATATTAAATGTCAAAATTTGCCACCCACTGTAATAACATTATATATAGATATTAGTATAACCAATATAACAGTCAGAATTTGAAATCATGAGTATGATAACGTTGTTATCCAATAGACCTTTCTCTGGTAAATCACCGAATAACTCGGAAGACTGTACTATCAGGTAGGTTCTTTTTAGCACATACCTAATTTCTTCTCCAAGTTCTGATTGGACGCAAGTATATTGCCATCACTGATAGGCTGATTTCAACAAATCTGACACAAGAAAATTAAAAGTGAAAAATACGGAAAACAAATACTTAAATCTGAGTTGAAGCACTAATAAAAAATGTCAATGCGGTAATTTTATATATAATCTTGTCTCTGGATATAACTTTAACTCTTAATCCTAATGCCAAATTAACCTTTAATATTCTTAAGAAAAATTAGTAAATACGTTAATCACATATACAGTGATGTCATAATGTTACTATCGCTATATTCAGTTATATTTATTTAGATATTTGATGTTACAGTTATTATAACCAAGTTAACTAAGTATGTTATAACAATTTTTATTAGAAAAAAATCAGTTTCGTTTATTTGTGTTACTGTAAGAAGTGTTATTATAAAGAGCGCTCACTTGATACATGTATTCGAAATTTAGTTCATGTACGCAAAACTGATCATACTACGCACAGTACGTATATTGATATGTATTATTATAAAACATTAATTAAAAAAATTGTTAAATAAATTACGAATATCAAAATAATGCATTACCAAGAATCAGAAATACATACTATCGCTATGTTTATTGCTTACGAAAACATATTGGCGTTAGAGCAAGCATTCGATGAACTTTCATATTCAAAATATCTCCTGATAATAGTGTTCAAATAATATAGGAAATTGAGAAGAACCAGGTGCAATGTTACATATCAATTTTTATAATAAATATAGAGGCAAATTTGTAAATATGGATCAATCTAATTGTAACAACTTCAATATTAGCCAATCACATGTCCAGAATATTAACCCTAACTCAGTCCTAATTAGCCAATTAAAATGCGGTTGTTACAAATAACAGTTGTTACCATTTATTCTATAAATATTATATACATGGACCTTTCTATAAGAGGAACATTATATAAAATATATTA